TTATCAGTTCATTCATTTCTGTAGGTTGCAAAATGATCCAATCTCATAAACATCTTCTCAGTATTGCGTATTCCCTTGGAAATATAGCACTAGGCAGTGCATAGTATGGGGCACTTCTCATATCCAAGTTCCTGTCTTTATTATTTTCGATTCAGGCAACTTACGTTATCCAGTGTCTCAAGATAACCACGACAAACTCCAGATACTCATCTTGACCTAGCCATGTATCTGCTAAGCTACGAAATATCCATAAAATACATGTACATTTCAAAGAACACCACAAAGCATTAATGTTCATCTAAAATAGAAATGCCGTATCACTCCTGCTTCTGCTTCGGTGCAGTGCGTCTCCAAATTCCTGCCAATATACTACCAAAAATTGAGTGGCATACGCTGGAAACTGCACATGGTACTGCAGTCAGTGGATTTTGGAAGTGCTGTGAAGCAAGAACAACTCCAAGAACCGAGTTCTGAAACATCAATGAGTTGATAAAGGATCAATCTTCATGAAAAAGGCAAATGAATGGAAGAATAATTATTCCTCCTGAGTTTGGTTCACCTAAAAATCATCCACAGCATGCTACTATAACCAAAAAAGCACTATGATAAATAGTACTACTGTTATTTTTCAATTTAAACTACCATATTCAATGTCCTTAATGTTCTAACTATATTGACAGTGATGTAAAGAGTCCCTTGGTGAGCATAAGAGAAACTACTTTCATTGAAATCTAACTACTTGCAAAAATTGCATACCTGCATGCCAACCTCAATAGAGATGGTCCGTGATGATGCCACATCAAGCCCCAGCACCCTTGATAGAATATAGCCAAAGAAAAATCCAGATACATGAAGAAGGGATGAAGCGAGCACAACTTGTTGACCAGATGCAAGAATTGCAGAAGCACTCTGGGCAATTGCATTTCCACACAGAATAGCAACAGTTCCCACAGCAATGGGTGGCATCAAAGGAGAAACAAATTTAACCAGGTCCTGGAAATATTGATTTAGGAATGCACCACCCAATACAGGAAGAAGAACAACCTGAGGTAATAGCATGGTAAGAGTACTAATCACAACAAGGGATCAACTGTATTTGGAAAAAAGCAACATGACAAGAGAATTCACCTGCAGTGTTGAGATTAGCAGTCCAGCTGCATCTACTGCAACATATTGCCCAGCCAGCTTGGCTGTGAGAAAGGGGGTCATAATCTGCAATATAAATGGGAATAAGAAGATATTATCTGACATGATGACAATAAAATGTTTTATGGATGTGCTCCAACTGATGGTACCATGAATCCTCTCATCCAGAAATATTCCTCTCATTATAATGCATGTCAATACTCTACTCAATTGTGATTCAATCTTGCTTATCCCATGATAACCTAGTTGGTTCTTAAAAGAAAGGTGATTGGTGTTTCCCAAGCCCTTAAACGAGCCAATGGAAAGCTGAACTTAATTTTAACAGTACCACATATTGAGTTTGCCATATATGTTGTACAGAAATCCAGCCTAATTGTTCTTTTAAAAGGAAAAAAAATGAAAAAAGAAATAGAAATTTTACAACAGATGGCCATTACATGAAAATGTGGGAAAATTATGGCATAAAAAATTTAATCATAGTTCAGAACTCCCCAGCGTAGGATGGTCATCAATCACAAAATTGTCCCACAAGTGAATATCATAGTTAAGTGAGGATAAAGACTAGAATCATTGAAAATATCTTTAAAACATCAATTGATAAGAAATAGAGGATTCAACATCAATTCTAGTTTACCAACCACAGCTGACAAAGTGCTTGCTGCAGTCATCAACACGGAAAGTGCCACATTTCCTCTGGAAGATAACAAGATCATTAGGTCTTCTGGCTAAGGCATCCATAATAAAAGAAAAAGCAATGATGCTGATAGAAAAATTTGCATACCGGGCAATATATGTGACAATGTTACTTGCTGTACCTGGAATGAGAAAATGAAGCACTATCAAGAGGGAGACAAGGATGGAAAGGTAAGTACACACCACATATGCAAAGAGTGACTATTAGCATACCACCAGGGCAGCAACCAACCAATATTAAACCAGCTGCATAGTGAGATGGCAAATTTAAGAGCTTGCTCACAAGGAACCCTGACAAGGGCATCACCTGCAATGAGTCACCAATTGTCTTCTAGTTTATATGTACTTAACTAAAACAGTGAGTGTGTGTGTAAAACATACTTCAAATGCAAAGCATTGAGATTAGGAGTATGCTTAGATATGCATAAGTACAGAATTCTATTGCCCTCACTACGCATTTACCCCATGTGTATTCATATTGTTGCTGGATTGTTGCATGCTAGAAGTTGTTCAGTTAGTTACTTTAAGTTTATGAAATGAGCTTGAAATAGTGCTCAATGATTAACTATAAATGTTCAAGTCATTTAAATAATGAGCTCCAACTTCTCCCAATTTGAGAAATGGGATGACATCGAGATTGAGGAGAATGAAAGTTACTCAAGAGGTCAAAATACTCAAGTAGTGAGTTACAAGTTTGGCAAAAAGGTACAAAATAGTAGGCAAGCGTAAACTGCTAAGCAAGAAGCAACTCCAGAAAAGGGTAATGTATGTAGTCACACATTTGGAAAAACCACCACGCAGAAGCATAGCAACTTTTACGAGATCCTACATTGCAAGCGAGTAAAGTCCTATAGAAATTCATAAAAATAAGAAGACGTACTGCTTGATAGTACTTATTACTATGACATGCTAATAGATAAAAATATCAATCCAGATTTGGCAAGGGAACAAATACTGCTCATTTGTTAAAATAATAGTGAATGTTTTTTACTTGGTAACAAATCTAATCAAGTAAATGTAACTCAAATAGGAAAAAATATTAGACCTTTTTACCATGTCAGCCCCAAGAAATCAAGTTGACAATCCATTTTATTGGATTGAAAATGCCATTGATTAAAGTTCGTGGATTTACTATGGAATTTTGAGTGACATTACTTAAAATTACAAACTGTTGCTCAAAATAAATGAGATTTAGATCACCTTGGCTCATGAACTGATCAATATACTAGAGTCCAAAACCTAACCTATGATTGTGATGATACCATGCCATGACTCCATTGGAAATTTCAAGGGACTCGAGTCTTTCATGATCATAATTCTATATATTTGACATGGAAATTTGATATTACAGATGATATTTTGATTTATTAAACTTACAGCTGATCTGAGTGATAGGAATGATCTATGTAATAATTTCTCCATGACTAGCCACCAGAAATACCAACAACAAGTAAAGAAGAAAGAATCACAAACCGAGTATTGGAGGACAAAACCGGAGATCAACTCTTTAGGCATAGCGAGGGCACCACGAAGATCATCTAGAGTAAGAGTCATGCCCATACCAAGCATAGTAAGAGTAAGGCCAAAAATGTTCCACCTGGGCGTAACCCAACTGAAAGAAGTTGGCTTCAGTAACCCAAACAAACATCCCAACGAAACCCATAATGGAAATGCAGTGGAAATCACTTCACCGAGCCACTCAACCCAATCTCTGAAACTTTTCTCGTTGTTAGGATTGCAACTGTCTGATGAAATGCTGCACTGAAGTTGAAAACTTTTTGAAGTCAAAGAAGTGGTGGTTCTTTTGGGTGGTTCATGGGATTGGGATCTAAGTGTTAAGTCAAAAGGCGATGAATTCGAAGGTTTGGGAAATGAAATGAAGAGATGTTGATGTGGTGGTAGGTAAGTCGAAATGGTTCTTGATTTCTGTTGAAATTTGAAGTTTGTTGTTGCCTGAGGGCATGAAAGGGAGGACTGCATTTCTCTCTGCTTCCTTTTTTCTTTTCTTTTTTGGCTTTTTGAGTAGACAAGCTATAGAAGAGCAGCAGCGTGTAAGAAGCCTAGGACAAGTCAAGAAAATTGTCAACAGCTTCTTTTATGTTGGGACCAACCAGACAAGAGAAAGGACAAGGTTTCTCTGTCATGTCATTGTCAATTGCAACTAAATTACCAAAAGAAACCTCTGTATTAAGGCTTGTCAACTTGGCACCTTCACCCTTAACCCCATAGCAAATGCAGTCCCAATATACACCCATTACCACTGACATTTGATTTATTTAGAAAATACATATTGTTGTGTCTATTCAGACATAACTAATAAATGTATGACAAATTTACGTTACTTCTGAGTGAATGGAGCTTGACGGTGCAAGTTTGGTCTGTTTGTGCAGTTTGTACCCCAACTCTATCAGGTATTTGATGACCTGATGGTTGTACACAGTTCATGTAAGATGGATTGCAATTAAATGGCGAAATACTCAAATTGGAAATAAATGTTTCAGTATTTTTTAATTAAATATTAAATATTTCAAATGCAACAGTTTAAGGTTAAATGTTTTTAATTCTTTACAATTAAGGGTTAAATTGACAAGTAGATAGAGCACACATCATACGTGATAAAAAATTAAATTAAAAATATAGTTATTATATACCAAATTGAAAAATATAATTATTATTCGTTATATTGAAATTTTAATTGTTGCATGTCAGATTGAAGATTTAATTATTACACACCATATTAAAAAATTTAATTATTACACGTCATATTAAAAAATATAATTATTACATGTTATATTAAAGATTTAGTTACTATACTTCACATTAAAAATTATAATAGTTATAATCATGTTAAAAATTTAATTATTACACATCATAATGAAAAAATTATTACATATTTGATTGGACAAAAAAAATATTTTAACAAAATTATACTTTTATAACATTCACGTCATACTCATATCTTACACATGTCAAACACTTCTCACATCTATCAAACATCTCTCACTTTAATCCTTAATTGTAAAACAATAAAAAATATTTGATCAATTGTTACAACTAAAACATTTAACCCTAAATTGACAAAAACTTAAAAAATTTAACCCCAAATTAAACATTTAATCCAATTAAATCTATGTATAGCAAATTATTAAAAAAATGTTTTGACAGGTAGCAAAATTATTTCTTATCGTTTGTTTTAAACAATTAAAATATTTACCATCTTCAAAGGTTAACTCAAGGTAGAAGTTTTTGTAAGGGACAAGGGTTGGGGTATAAATAATGATATTGAGATGACAGGTAATATCTTGTTCAAAAACCAGAGGGTCTATAACATAATCTTGATCCATGTACAGCAAACACTTGATACTTCCTTGACATAGTTTCAGCACATAAGATGGTCAATACAACATCCATATAACCTCAAGGGGAGTTTATGCCATAAGGCTTTGAGATTATAGTGAATATTTTTGGCAGGTGGCGGATGTGACCAGCAACTGTCATCTTTTATCCACTGACCTGCAAAATAAGGACATTCGTTTTCATAAGTCAGTGAACAATATCATACATGGCAACTCTTAACAGAAAGCTAGTGTTAGCTGCATACCATGGTGCACCCCGTGCCACATTTGAAACATGTCTAGTACTTAAGCACACTGTACCCTACAGGAGGACTTAAAAACTAGACACCAGTCATCCGAAACAACTCTGGTAGATCTTCTGATCGACAAAATCTCATCGAAGCCTTTGACATACTATGCCCATCCGTCATTTTGATGCAGAAAACATCATAAAATCAAATCATTGAACATCTCTAGTTATAATAGCCAAAGTAGATCAAAGCTTGTTAGCTAAAGAAACTCTCTCTTCATTCACTGCCTCATCTTGTCTTACTGCTGAGAAAAAGATCATACAATGAGCTTGAATGGCCCCGGTATTTGGCAATTTGGTAAATTTAAACCAAAATCACATAAATCTTCTGGTATTTTCTGTTGCCCCAGGAAGCCTAGTGTAATTTCCCAACATAACTGGCGGTTATACAAGACATAGTGCCAAACCAACAGCTGTTACTGGCTCATTGCCACTGAAAGCAGGAAATGTGCAGAAGAACTTGACAAGACTTTAGCTCCAAAAGCAAAATTGGGGAAATCCTTATATTTCCTGTAGCACCGAATTACAAAATAAAATTTTCATTATACTCTCCATAGCCAGCAAAATTTGAGAAGGGTAAACATCAAACCCCACCTTAATTGTCTTCAAACCCAGGCAAGAGGACTTCAATAATATCTAGTGCTCAAGAGGCATAAAAGATGTGAAAGTTGAGGTAGCACCATGTATTGAAGACATCACCACCTGAAAATTGAAAATTCAATTCATCAATATAATAATCAACATGAAGCATTAAAACAAAAATAAGGAATCATGCATTGATTTTGATTGTGCAACATCATACAAAGTTAATACTTTTGGGGTGACTTTAGAGTGTAACTGCAAAGAAATATGTGCCCATTGTTTAAATTTCAAAGGTACTCTAGCAAGTGAACATGTACAGTTACATCAAGTCACAAATGACCTTTGAGCTATGCCGTGTGATACACAGCCATGAAATTTTTTATCCTTTATGGGTATAACTTCAATTTTAGCAGTTCAGGATTTTATTACATGAGTTAACATTGCTTTTGTGATCTATGGGTAGCCCGGTAGGATTGTAAATACATCAATTCCTCTTCCTATTGAGAATTTTATCTTCATTTATCAATCTTTCACTATCTCCTGCAAAATACAAACCTATTTTCATCTGCAAACCATAAAGCCAATTTACGTGACATATTCAAATCCTAAAATCCCTTATTTTCCCAGACCTAAGCCCATTATGAGTTGCCATATAGGCAGAATTTGTACAGGTTGCCTTGAATCTGTTTGGAATACAAGGAAAAGAACCTTTTTCTCAGCAACAACAGCTAGCATTATTAAGCAGTAAATCTTTAATGGAAATTGAAATCTTTGTTTACATGATGAAACCTTGATGATTTTATTACCTCCTTAGGCTTGAGTATGATCAAGAATCCCTAAACCTTTGGTAAAAATTGTAACACCCCGTACCTTCATTTAGAAGTTGATAAAACTCTATTCATGAGAAGAAAAGTTATTTGAGGTAAGTTTAAATGTCAGAGAACGATGATAAGTAAAAAAAAAATATTTTTAAATAAAATAATATTTTTATAAATAAAATATTAATATTTTATTTATTAGTGAGATTAGTTAAAGAGGGTTATATGACTAATCTAAGTGAAGGAGAAGAAGAAAAGAAGAATACGGAAGAAAAACGAGGTTAGAGAGACTCATGTGTTTTTATTAAATGGAGCACAAGCGGATAAGTATATATTTAAATATTATGATGACACATTGATGGGATCTAAACTTTATATTATATTTATACACATGTCAAAGAAGAAAATAGAAGAAAATTGAAATTTAAGAGGTGATGGGAGGACTTAATAAAAAAGATGAGAACTTAAAAAGGTTAAATGGTAATTTTACTATTGAAATTGGTCAAAGCTTACAAAGAAAGCTTTGACTTTTGTTTTTTTTTTTTTGTCTCTCCATGGCCGGTGAAACATGTGAGAGCTCGTTGGGAATTGTGCACAAAGAAAGAAAGAAAAAGATGAGAGAAAGAAAAAAGAAAGAGACAAGAGATTTTACTACTTGTTGACTAAGTGAAAAGCTTTCAATTTTTATCTTGACTTTTCTTTCCTTTCCATTCCACATGACCGGCCAAGTGATGCCAACTTTTATTATTTTTCTTCTTATCTCATTGAGATTCTAGCACCTTCTTCCTCCACCCTTTTATGCATTTTTTCTTTCTTTTCTTCCCAACCGTCACTTTTCTTCTGTGCATTTCTTTCAACCGTGACTTCACCTCCATAGACAACCGTGCATTAAGTCTTCCCTCCTATCTTCTTCCATGCTTCTTTCTTTTCTCCTTCCTTCTCATGAATTGTCTACCCTTTTTCCTCCCCATAACCAAACCTAAGGAGAGTTTGGTGGTTTGGCTTAAAAATCTCAAGGTAAAGAATGTGAAAATTGTTAATTTGGTTGAATTCATGTAAAGATTTAAAAAAAAATTTTGATAAACATTGTTATCATATATGATGGTATAAGTATGAAATTTAGTAAGAAATTTAGGTAAGAAAGTTATTGGTTAAGTTGTTATCATATATACATGCAACTAAGTAAATTGGGTTTGGATGGTCGTTAGGAAACGTATAAGTAGAGGAAGTGTGCTGGGGTGGCGTACCAGACGAGATAACCGGTGAACGACAAATAGTATTTGTTAGTTGCATACCCAAATTAATAGTGACGTAATATCCCGTTATTTTGCGGTGAGTAAAAAGTATCCATTTTAAAATTTCTTATTACTATGTAAATATATATTGATTTATTTTAATGAAAAATTGTGAAAAACATGAGTTGATAGAAATATTAAAAAATTATGAATGTTATGATTTTGAAAATGACTTTAAAAATATATAAACTATATACATATATAAATATACGTAAAGGTTCTTGAAATTGAAAAAAAAAAATTTCTTTATGATTTATGTCAAATATGTACCTTATAGTTTGTGTAGTATGCATTCATGATGAAAATATATACTCACCATGCTAAATGATCTTTCAATCTCATATAACAAGTTATATTTTAAAGTCTTACACGAAATTTTATCATGTACTACGTGAACATTTTAATAATTATTTTTTTGAAATGAATTTTGAAGACCTAACTATATTTTAAAATAATTTTATTAAACCGAGAGATTTGAGAGTAGACCGATTGTTATTCCGATTAAGTGTGACCCTTGTGCACAAGTAAGCTCTAGCTAAAGAATCTTTGGGTCATCGACAGGTTGTTAGATTTGGTATCAAAGCCTTAGGTTTAGTTGAATCCTAAGAATTCTCGTATCAAGTAGCGGCGTAGTAGGGTCAACGTAGAATCTTGCTTATAGTTAATGACTGCAGCACCGATTATAGGCAAGAGACTACGTAGACCTTTTTATATTAAAAAATCATGTGAAATTATAAAAAATCATTAAATAACTAAAATATATTATCGATGTCCAGGTTTGAGATGCCACCTCGAACTCGAGCATCTTGAAGGGCTGCGGGTGAATAGAACTCGCCTCGAGAAACTGATAAACGATTACGAATTTCTACCTCACGCGGATGAGATCGTTCTAGAACTAGGGAGAAGAGTTCTCGACGCTCAAGTGAGGGAAGTTCAAGTGATCAAAGGAGTGCTAGTACCGACAGCATTAGAGCGGGTAGATTTACTGTAGAGAGTATTACTTTGGATGAGTTAGCTACTGGATTGTGAAATTTGACCC